TCCATTCATCACTAAAACAACCAGTGATAGCTGACAATGTGTTTGTTACTTGCACATTAGCCGGAACCCTGCAAGTATCTTTATTACAACATAACCAACTAAATGTTGCAGCTGTTCTTTGGTTCACTAAAGTATTACTTATAGTGCTTGCGTTGGGGCATTCTCCAACTGTTGCATTAGTAGGAGAATTATTGCCAATTATACCGCCACATAAACCACCAGGCAGTTTAATTTTTTGGCTTGAAAATTGAACATAAAATCCCTCACGAGCTTGAGTAACACAAAATTTAGATTGGCCAATTGTATTACATTGTCCGCGAAAATAATTAGGATAATAAGGACAATTAGGAGACATGGGAGAGCAACCTACATCTGTACTACCAATAGGTAGTTGCGTAGTGCAAGTAGTTTTTCCGTGAAGTGATAACTAGGGGTAGCTGCGCGACGCAGTCGCGCTAGAACCAGGAACGTGGAATATTGGAATATTTAGGTGTAGCAATTATATATAATGAGATAAGGTTTTTTGTTGAAGCAAAATAACCCAAGTTCTCTAAGTTAAATTTATCGGTCTGGAGTCTCGTATTTGTGCTTTCAATTATATATTATATATTGCCAATTAAAAGTTAATATGGCCTTTTTTTTTAATGGCATCCGATTTAGTTAAAAAAATTGTGTTAAAATGGTTAATTTTTTATTATACTATTAAAATACTGTGATTGATTCAATGTTCTAGATTGACCTATTAAAAAAAATATCCAAGTCACCTAGCAGGTGAATCAAAAGTTATTAAAAGCAGTATAATGATTAAACCTATCTAAATGTACGCAATGGAAAATTTTTATATGATCCCTAAGTTATTGATATCGGAATTTGTGATTGGGATAATAAATGAAAATTATTAATAAGTATCCGGCATGATATGACTACTTACAGCTGTTTTTATTATTTTTGGGGCATTTGACAAAATTGTGCAAATGATTGTTTGGCCGAGTCGATAAGTTATTGATCTCGGCCAGGGACTGGACTCGAGTCAACTCGTAGCTTAAAAAACATAGTCTTAATTCGAATCAACTCGAGTCAAGACTATGTTTTTTAAGCTACGAGTTGACTCGAGTCCAGTCTCTAATCTCGGCATGATCTGTGTAGGTAGGTACGAACGTACGTTTTAAAATTGATTACTAATCAATTTGTAAATTAAAACTCACGCGAAACAAATAAAATACTACATAGCTTTAAATGACCTCTATTTTCACGTCTTAACCAGATTTCCATCTATGATTGTAACACATAAAAATTCTAGTCAGGCTTTTCATCCATTAAATTCTTAAGATATTTATGTTGGATTCAATTGTGATGGATATAATCCCTCACCAGTTTTAATATATGTGTAACATTAACGGTCTCTGCTGTAAATATAGTTACATCCTAACTACTTAACATCCCTATTTATGCTTTTTCGGCAGGAAATTGCAAATTTAAGTTATTTTCCAACAATCTAAATTTTCATTAAACTAAAGCCAGTTCGTATATTATGCGAAAATTATAAAATTGGAGTAATCAACTCACTGCTGAAGCTTTTATAATATTGAAATTAGAATATTCACAACCGGCTAGTATAGTACGATTCGAATACCAATATGTCCAAACCAAGTGTAACTCTCCCACATCAGCCTGTTACAGTTATTCTAATTAACCGAGTAATTAACGTAACAAAATTTTACAGGTAACAGAGTTACATCGAACATATTACATTTCATCATTTTGCAGTAATATTCTTAATAGACTACTATTCGACAAAAACTCATGCTGTCTAGAGGAATTTGCAAGCAACAGTTTTAAAATAACATAAGTAATAAAAGTCAAATAAAACACGAAAAGAAATGTAAAATATTCTTGTCAAAGCATGAAAGATGCAAAAAACGATTTTTTTAAACAAAATTTTAATTACGATCTCTTCAAAATAATGTTCAATTTTCATGTGTTTGCAATATGCAGAAAGCGGGTTTCCACTATAATTGCTTAATTTTTGGCCAATACTCTATGAAAAAAATGGTTGTTCGATTTTTTTCGAACAGGGTGATTGAATGATTATCATATAAAAAACGTATAACACCCAATAAATATCCTGTAAATGTGGAACGGAATCAATTTTCCAAACAACAAATCGGATAATTTCAGAATGAGTCCAAGAGATTTTTTATACAGAACAGTAATAAAATAACGAAACAAAAAAAATATCTATATACAGTTATATATGTATTTGGATGTAGTCAATATACCAATCAACAAGTTACTGAAGCGAATTTTGGTCTTAATCTAATATAAATCTTTATTGCGAAGTCAAGCTTGCTTCTTCCAGTTAACATCTTTGTCATGAAGACTCCAAAATATTAATGTCAGTAGGTGTGGCGAAATTTTTACTGTTACAAACTTCTGGATTTGCATAAGACACGACCATATAAATAACATTCGAATCATTTTCATCCAGATATGAGATCCTCGTTATTACCATCTTCGCTAATATCAACTTAAACTTGTAAAAAATTGAGTTCGTACTATATAAATTTTACATTTTTGTTATCCAACCACATATATATCAACATAATTGTCTAATCAAAATGGGTTGATTAATTTCACCAGGGTCACCTGTGTATATGAGCGCTTCAAAAGGAAACCCAGAATTTACTTTTTGTCTGGCAAAGCGCGAGTTTTAAAATTTATTGCATAATTAATAAATTAGAAGCTACGTAATTTAACGCCGATCACCGTTTAATATTTTCACTGGAATCTTCATGTTTAATAATTTATTGTTAATAATTTATTATACATCGAAGCGACTAGAATGATCTGTCATTCATTTAAATCATATGTTATCCGGATTCTTAAAATCCCGCGTACTGCAGTTCAAACAAGATTCCCGGGTTTTCTTTTAGCAACGCTCATATGAAGCCTGATAACAAAGAAGTAAAATTTGTATTGTATGAACTCAAATTTTTACAAGTTGATATTAACGAGGGATTGTTATTTACGAAGTTGATATTAACGAGGGTCACCTGTAATCTCGGACCTGAGATATATATTATAATTCGAAAAATACATTTGTAAAATATTAAATTTAGCAAATTCTGCAATATTCTGTTAATGTTATAATTTTTCTGATATTCATTTATTGTAGAGGCTGATGCTGAAACTTAAGATCTAAATTTAGATATATATTTATTTTGTATTGACAAATATTGTTACACGAGCTTTTTATACTTTTTACAATAGAAAATTTTAAATTAAAGCAGCTTATTAAAGCAGCTTTATCGAAATTTTAGAATCAAAGCCCTGAAATTTATCAGGTTTTTGAATGCTTAAATTGTTTCTACATATAAAAGTTAAAATTTTACTAAATAAACTATTTTGGGCTCTTAAGTAAAGTTGTTTAAAATATCAAATATAACGTTTATATATAAGTGTTCCACAACTTTCATTAGAAGCGATTCTGACATTACAAGCATGTAGTATGTTAACAATAATATGTATTTTTTTAACTTTCGAAGAGTAATAACTGAATAGCTTCACGTGAGCAAGACGAAAAGATTAAAAAATCAATCGTTTCACGAAATCCTATAAAAGTATAGGAGACGCAAATCTTCTTTTTAATTTTGTCAAATCAGAATTTTTGTTGATTGGCCATCAAAACAAATTTCCATCATGCAGTTCTACAAAAAGGGTCCTTTAAAGATTTAAAGCGATGCAGAATCACCCAAAGTATAGACTTTTGATGATCGCCGACGAAGCAAAATGAAAAACCTGAAAAATACAAAAACGGCAGTCTAAACCTACCTTGGGTGGGTTAATTAAAAATGTCGGGAAGACAAGTTTGCTTGTACATAACTACCTAAGACCTAACCTAACCCTAATCTAAGATTGCTCTAAGCCTAAAGTTAATTCAATAAAATATATAAGGATTGCTCCGCTTTAGACGTCCCCTACAAAAATCCACTTATACTCTTTTATTATAAATCCCAACCCTAAAAAAAATTCCTCTAAAAATTTTAAATTTAATGTAAAAATACAAAAGTGTTTCAGCATCAGCCAGCTTCAGTGGCAGCCACCACATTTATTAAACAAGTGGAAAATTATGAGAATTGAATTCAATGTTTTTTGTATTTTGCATAAACTTACATAATTTTACACTTTAGAAATATTTTCTGTAATTCACCTATCTTTTCGCCAATAACTTCAAGCACTGTCTTTTCAAGAAGTTTTTCTCTAAGTTCTATTTGTTCCTCTATAAAATTTATTTTATCTTGAATTTCTTTTAAATCGTTATCTCTTTCCACTTTTTTTAATTCTTCTTTTGTACTCCTTAATTTTTCTCGCAAATTTTCAACGCTATTTATCGCAAATTCATCTATTCTTTTATTTATTTTGTCTAAGTCATTTGATTTATATACTTTTCGGCAACTTTCTAAGTGCTTTAATAAAATTTTTCTTGATTTTCCACGCTTTTTTTTATACACTTTGACACAACTGTCTCCATCATCATCGTTTATGAACGGATTATTTACATAAATGATCTTTTTATGACATTAATTAATCATTTCAATAATTTTCCGGCTATTCTCCTTATTTAGTTCTTTGCTATTTTTCTCACAACTACTCGGATCATCAAATTTATTAAAATCAGTTATTACAATAGTAATGTAGTCGGTAATTCTTTCATCAAAAAGGATTTCTTTTAATATTTCATGCACTTCTACTTCTTTATCTGTAAGTTTTTGACGAGCTACCAAAAAAATTTGATTTAATCCACTCTCGATCTTTTTATAACTCTCAGCTATTGCCAGAATGACTTCTCTTGGCTTCAACTTTGTATCTCCAATTCCTATTGTGTCAATTATTTGATACTTGATTTCTTGATATTTAAATATCTCAGCTTTAATTTTCCTAGTTTCACTTGTAATACCATCTGACTCAGCATAGCGGGCTTTATCATGATTGGCTAATTTTGGAAGATCATCTCATCATAATAAAGCTTTATTAAAGTAA